CAACTAGATATTATGTTAGATAATAGCTCATAAGTAATATTATATTTAAATATATCACAATAAGTTAACCAGAAATAATTTGAATTAATATTTAACGGATTATGTTATAATATTTATAGTATTACAATATTAAAAGGTGATAAAATAATTCATGGTATTTAAATTGACAATAGACTAATATTAGGTACAGGCTTGTGAATTCCTCCGGTGTTCAGATGTTTAAGGGCGGCGGTGATCACTGATCACATACCAATTACAATCATAAACCTGCCGAAGCATGTACATTGCCTCTTCCTCGATAGAAAAATGGAGATCGATAAACTGATAACTATACGATATTACTGGTATTTTAAATTATTACTACTCCTTATTTCTCTAGATATAAATCGGGCAATTTTTGTTAAAATCAAAATTATGTGATTTGTATTGGTACCCTGCGACTTGATAATGAAATATGCTATCCAAATTTACAATAAAATTATTTTATCATAGTGTGAGTTATCTTAATGTTGGAGTTGTAAATCGAATTAAAGTTTAAGACTGATATAACTTTTTTATTGATCAGTAATAAATTTGAAGACCGTACCAAAATGCTCACAGTAATATGAAACGTGACATTCGGAAACATTAAATACCTGTAAGACTGATTCGTTGCCTGTTTGTGGGGAAGGAAAAGGCATTTTTCTAGAAGCGCAACTGTTCTTAGAAATGGACTTCATTCATCACGTGATAAAATCATCTCCTGTTCTTGATGATGATAATGATTTTCCAGTATTGACAACCACGAAGTATTTGAACCACGGATTATATACAATACATAAAGATGTTTTCAACTATAAAGTCTATTTAAATACATAGACTATCGCCGTGTGATGGCGGCCTAGAGAATATATCAGCCCATTTCGCAGCGGACGGTAAAACCCCATGAGTGTCGTAACAGGCGACAATCGGAAATACCAGAAACTCATGGCTTTCAATATACGACGGTATACGATCTTGTCGTAAACAGATGTAAAATATTCAGACTGACGGCGGGTAACCGCTGAACATATGCCTCTAGACTGTTTCACTGGGAGAGGGATATTTTTTATTGAAAAGGGGGCAAAATCAACACGCCACATCTTTTCATAGTCGATAAAATATTTTTATGAAATGAGATTGCAGATAGATTCTAAAATTAGAATCCAGATAACTGACCATCTACATACCGTTACAGTGTATTAGAAGTTTCTCCCCACAGATTGCCTCATAGGGCATATTTGCCATAGATGAGGGTAAAGACTACAGACTAAGGAGTCACCGTCAAAGATGTTTTATGTTCCATACGCAGTATATTACAATATCTTTGGTCACCGTACCGTCAGGCACCAGGGACTACTCGGTTACAGATACTTTTGTTTGTTTAATCAACAGATTTTACTTTAAATATTACACATAAGAGTTCATTTTATAATGATTTCTTATATTTACGCGAACATTGCACATGATTAAAACTACTTTTACGGATTTTATCGCGTTTATTTTTACTTTTTATTTTTAATTCCCGACGTTTCGGGCGCTTTCCAGCACCCATGGTCACGGGGGACTGAGATGACTGACGTCCCGATGTCATTGTTAAACCCGGAGTACCTTCAGCTTTTTTAATTATTGTTTATGGTCCGATCTATGCAAAATGAACTGACTATGTCCTGAGGTCTTGCAGTGGTATGCTTGGGTTTATATCATAGTTCATTTTATATCATTACTCTATTGCAATAAGTTTGTCGAGTTATGTTATTGTGGGTTTATATAATCCGTTTTCCCTTATCATAGCATAATGAGTGTCATAAGAGGCAACTACAGATAATACCGGAAATAGCTCATGGTTTCCGATAGATTTTGGTATAACTACGTCAAGGCGTGCGTGCGTGCGTGCTGTTATACGGAGACAGACTGATAGGTTTAAAAAAAAAAAGATTTATTTAACACACTGAAATTTAATTAAGTATACCAAATGGATTAAATATTATAAACTGGTTAGAAATTAACTTAAGTCCGTAGACAACCGAGCAGGTTCGAAGATGGAAGCAGACTGAAGCGGCCGAACTGCTCCACTGCAATACTCACTGAACCTTAAGGCCAAGTCAAAATTATTATGAGGCAGTGCAGCAATAAGGCTAACAAATACAGGGTATAACATTGCGTACGTGCGTGCGTGCGTTCGTGCGTGCATGCGTGCGTGCGTGCATGTGAACGTTCGTGCGTGAGTGCATGCGTGCGTTCGTGCGTACGTGCGTGTGTGCGTTCGTGCGTAAATGCATGCGTGCGTTCGTGCGTACGTGCGTGTGTGCGTTCATGCGTGCGTGCGTTCGGGCGTTTGTACGTGCGTTTTTTATAACTTCTGCTAATGCCAACTTCACTTGTGATGTTGGCTTTGATGACTTAAGAATAGCGGAAAATCCGTCAAAAGACGTTAAAATAATTTTCATAACTCGTTTATTCGCTCATAGTTATTTAAATACTTCACTTATTTTGACGAAAAACGGGTTTACTTAATCGCTTAAGTTTTAAACGACCGTATTTAGAGGTCAGACAAATTGTTTGTCACCAAATCACACTCACAGTTTTTTGACTCATAAATGCGAAACAGAAATGAGATAGGAGTCACAATTTTTACAGGGTGTTATCAATATTAACACTAATAGACACAATGGCTTATTATATATAGTGCTGAAGCAAAAGTAAGAATGGCTGTTTATTGAATATACTTATAATTTCTTTTAAGAAAAGAACAAAGAATCCTTCATTAATTAAATTCTTCAATCTTCATTCATTTATTAATTAGGGAACTTTTGTTTCAATTCAGAAACTTTATTTACTTCAAAAATCCAAGTGCCAATCTCTAGACCAAGCATTAATTTTGTACTGAGGCAACATATTAGACATTTTTGACCTAAGTTTTTTTCTTGAGAATTTTTATAAAATAGAATGTGTTGACAAAACATATGATATACAAGTAATATTTATGTTTACATAGATCATAATCCTAAGCCACCACTTTTGAAATCAGTTATAATTAAGCGACTGTACTAACATGTTACTGTTGTAGTAAAACATAAAATTTCATAGGAAATATACTTATCTTGTACGTCGAACTAGATACACCAACTTTTGTCAGGTCGTTATTTCTAACGAACGTCACAACATAGTTGTGACAAACGTGTAGCCAACAAATATATTTGTATCAAAATTTTCAAATGTATTTTTGGTATGTATAAACATTGGTAATGACGTACACTGTGTAATTTATTATAAACTGAATCCGTAAAGCCAGGTTCGTTATGGGCCTGGTTTTGCATCAAATACACAGTGAATAACGGGCACACAAATTCCAGTTGGATGTAGATAACCAAACTGGAATTTATCATCGATTTCAGAGTTTGCAACTTTATAGTTAATCTCAGTTTTATTTTATTCTTAGTTTCCTCTCTTCTTTTTCGATTTTTATTATTTTGCAAGTTAATAAAAAGTTTTTACTGTTATATTTTATTCTTACTTTTCTCTCTAAGAACGTAATTATAAAATGAATAATTAAACGCTTTTATTTTGCACTGGACTTATGTCACAAGGAGATCATGGACTCAGACTAATGCCCACCCTCACTGACTTAGGTTAAAAGTCGAAAAAAACAGTATCGCGTTCTTCCATCTCTAGGTTCAGAGACTGATGTTTTAGTTACTTACTGAACGTAGTCCAGGTACGGTTAAAGATCCAGATGTAGGTAATTTTTTTTTGTTTCATATCTATGTCAGGAAACCAATGGGTTAATTAAAGTTGAATTGCTACGATCAAGTGGAGAGGTCAAAGATATATTCGATCGATCGATTCGAGATTCGTTAGACATAGAGCTTGATATTGTCGGAGTAACATTGTTGCATTCGTCTTTCACAACATGAATTATACAAAGAAATATCCATCAATATTTTAAAATCGGAATATGGAATATTTTATATTTAGACCCCAGTGATTGTCCATATTCGGAATTTCAGTCGGGTTCAAACTTGCTTAAGGTGATATCAAACGGTTCACTCGAATGATTGTTCACTCGAGTGAATGCTTCATTTTTTTTCATTCTATGTTCACACGGCTTAGACGAAATGATACAGAAACGAACATTCATTGTTCTTTCTTTTAAATATGTCATCGAATGAAGTCGTACGTCTTGGAATTAGTTTAATTTGTGATCATTTAATCAAAGAGTTGACAAAAAAAGAAGCAAAGAAAACGTCGACGGTGGTGGGTGCGACCGTGGATTGCAAGAAGAAATTTATTAGGAGCTTCCAATACATTGTTGAGAGAACTAGCCGTTGAAGATCCTGATTCATATTGTAATCATCTTCGAATGGGTGAAAATAAATTTGAAGAACTTCTACTTCTTGTTGCTCCGTTAATAACGAAAGAAAACACTCTTACTTACCCGGATAAAACTTCAAATTGTACTGAGATACCTGGCTACAGGTGATAGTTTTAGAAGTTTAGAGTTTTTGTACAGAGTACCTCGAAATACAATATCCTATTTTTTTCAAGAAGTATGTGAAGCCATTTGGACAGCCCTTGGTTGTTAAGGTCAGTTATATCTATTTAATAAAATATTAAGTTATTTTCTTGAAACATTTTAATTTAGACAATCAACATTTACATAATACTTTTTAGAGCTTGTGAGAGTATGTTTTCTTGCTCTGGGGTGGATGTTTAGACAATTGTGACTTGATTGGTCTCTTGTGGTGAACTCACGGGTACAGGCACTGGTTGTGGTTGCGTATAAACTTGTTCGGTGACAAGGTAGTTACTATAATTATACTCCGGTGTTGTATTTTGGTATAGAGGCGACTGGTTGATAGTAAATGGGGATGGAATGCTGGAGTCCGAGTAAATTACTTCAGGAATTGATTGTGACATCCGTGTTAACCTTTCCTGAGTCATCACAGATTGAAGTTTTTCCTGACATATCAAAGCCCTGTTCAAGGGCATTTTCTTGAGTTGTACTGCCAAACTTTTGCAAAACAAATCAAACTCATCTTCAGTTTGGACTTTGGCTGCTCGCTTATAGTTTTTAATTCTTTAATTGCTCTATCAATCGGTATATCAATCTTCCTTTTCTTGTTTGTTGGCTTTCGAGAATATGAAGGAGTCATCAGTTCACTACTTCCATTCCTACTAATCTCAGAATTTGGCGTCTTCTGTTCCTCACTGCCAGCTTGAGTCTGCTCAGATTCAGCAGAGTCTTCATTTTGAGTCTGTGGTGCATCCTGTAATTAAAATGTTGACACTTTTATTATTACAGGTTCCTGGAAGTCAACATGAATGGAATAACATAATGGAAGACTACTATAGATTATGGAACTTTCCAAACTGTTGTGGTGCAATGGATGGAAAATTGGAGAATATAAGATGCCCAGGAAGATCAGGCTCTGAATATTTCGACTACAAAAAGAATTTTAGTATTCATCTATTTGCAGTAGTAGATGCGAATTATAATTTTATTTAGAAAAGCAAATGATGCATCTGTCTTTAATAAATCAACACTGAATGAAGCTTTGTTGTCGAATCTTCTAAATTTCCTAAAGGAAGGCGTAATCGTCGCAGATGATGCCTTTCCTTTGCGGACGGATGTTTTGAAACCATATAATACTATAGGAGAGTTTGGCGATAAACAAAAAATATCTAACTATCGGCTGTCAAGAGATCGACGAGTGGTCGAAAACTCTTTTGGAATATTAGTATCAAAATTTCGAATCTATGAAAAGGCGATTCCATTGTCAGTGCAAAAAGTTGAACAACTTGTTAAAACGACGTGTGCATTACATAATTGGCTCAGAAAAACTACAGTGGACTACGTGCAACAACGATCACTGGAAACTGAGGATTGGGTCACAGGGTCCATTGTACCTGGAGAATGGCGAGAAGTACCATCTTAAGCATTAAGCGATTTACCACCAACCAATGCAAGAAATCATAGTGAAAACGCCCGCCGCGTGCGTGACGTATATTCAGAAAAGTTCGTCACTTCATGCACTGTACCATGGCAATGGAACATGATAAGAAGAATATGATGTAATAATACCTACTGAATAAACCTATACAATTCATGTACGTTGTTTTTGTTTGAGTATATAAGTATTAAGTAGGTACCTACCTAGCTTCTGTTCACGTAGTGGTCGCCTATCTAACAGACAGACAGAGTTACTAGGATATGGATTAATATTATGGATATGGGTTAGTATGGATTGATAAAAGATTCTACTTACGAGACTTGATGTACTCTGCCGTGGGACGCATACACTGCTTAAAAATTCTGCATGTTTAAACCAGTACAGGGTCGGTACATAGACATCGTCAGAAGAGCAACCGCTTTTAGTAGACTGCTTTATTTTGGTTAATTCTGTTGTATACCGGGTCCTTATCGTTTTTATTTTATGTTTAATATCTTCTTCAGTAATCTCTAAGTTTAAATCACTGATTTGAGATTTTATAGAGTTTGCCCGCATTGTTCGGTCTTTGTATTCATCAATTTTGTGATTCCAAAGGCATTGATAATTTTTAAAGTTCTCCAAAAAAAAGTAATGTATTTTGATCGTTCCACTTGAACACCATTTTGCCGCATGAAAACAATATAATAACACACAGAAAAAAATATAACTTCGTCGACAACGTGATGTCCGTCGGCTACAGGACTCGAAACAAAATGGCCGAATCCGAATGAACGTTATAGAGTGAAATGTACCGAATGAAAGGTGAAAATGAACAAAAAATGAACCGTCTGATATCACCTTTACATATTTTACAAGTAACAATAACACATAAGCAATTAATCATCCCGAATATATTAAATTAGATACCTAATAAAACCTAGCACGGTTTTATTGAGATATATTATCTCAATATTACTTAGAATACCTAAGACTTTAGACTAATTAACGAAAAACGCCTATATTTTAAATTCCTTAAAAATTTCTAACACCGACCAAACAAAATACTTCTGCAACAGCGTAGATTAACTAGGTATGATACTAAGTTCTTGTGCAACAGCGACGACTATGGCCGGTAGAAGTATGACGTCATTGAGTGAGTGCGTGTAAAGTGTGTTGAATGACGTAGAATGGCCTTAAAAATGTTTTAACACCAGCCAAGCAAAACACTTCTGCAACAGCGTAGATGGAGGATTAACTATGATACAAAATTTTTGTGCAAATGACGCAGAAGCAGAAGGTGGCCTTACACTTTCTTCAACAATTCGTCTTTAAGAAAAACAAGAGTACTACTTATAGGGATACTACCACAGAGTAAATAATAGTAGGTACACGCACGAAAATATTTTAGAACATTTCGCTTCTACTAAATTCAATTTTGTTATTTAGAACGTGAAAAGATCGAAGTAAAACGACATTTGGTAAATATTCTTTTAAATGCCTTGTATTTTGTTGTTTTTTCCGTAAAATAAATAAAATAATAATCTTAAGAAAAGAGGCTTATACTCTATAAAATTGATAGGACTATAAATTACGGAATCTGCAAAATGTGTGTAATTAATTTAGGGCCATTTCCAATCCAATCCAATCTACTCTATTCCTATGTCCGGTTCATTATGAAAATGGTGAGAATATATATTTATAAATCTCGGTATAGGTACTTGTAGTTAAAAAGAACAGGGAAAAGATTTCCCTGTAAATTATGGCTATTACTAAAATTGTACAATAACAGCAGTTCCGAAGTGACCGTGTTGGTTCAACAACCTCAAACACATTTAACCTACGACGCACAAAACTTGGTGGCCCTTTCACGATCTCGTTATCTTTGACACTCTCACCGAAATGGCGGATGATGCAATACCTACGTATATAGGTTACTAGGCACATCACACATGCGTGACCCTTTCTGGGATTCCTATGATTTGATTATATTTGCGTGATATTTTCAATTAGTTACAGTCAGTTTTGAATATTGCGTTAAAAAAGAAAGAAAGTTATTTTAGTGTTTATATTCTTATTAATTAGAAGATCATTAGGTACCAAGTAGGGATGCATCAAATACCGATACCGATATATCGGCGATAATCGAAGTTGCCGATATATCGGCATTGGCGATATTATTATGGCCAATTCAACGATACTTTTAAAATTTTACGTTTTTTTCCCTTGCAAACGAGGCACGAACTAACTATGCTGTGCTGTGTCTTGTTTCTTTGTTCCCCCTGTTTACTCTGATCTGTAATTGTCTCAAAGAAGAAAGTATCTCTCTACCTAAAGTCTTCTAATATATCGAGAGGCGCAGATCCGTTCGTTTTCTAGCGCAATAACGTCTTATACCCAAACTTGAAAAAAATGACGCAGAAGTACTCTAGTTTCCAAATGAGTTCTGTCGCATCCGAGAGACTATTTTCCACAGCAGGTCTTATTCAAACAGATTTGCGAAATCACTTTTCTCCGCAAAACTTAAGAATACTTTGTTTTTTAAACAAAAATCTCATCAATATTAATTTTAATTACTAAAACCATTAACTAATCTCAACCTTTCTTTAGCTTTAAACGGTTTTATTTAGTTTGTCCTGTTATTTGTTCTTTATATATTAATAAAAAAATAACCTGACTTGTGTTTTATTTATTTTACCTTCATTTTTGAACTCAATAAGCGTATCGCTATCGCTCTTATTTTTATAAGAGCATCGGTATCAGTATCGTATCATCCAAAAGGCGTATTAAGGCATCCCTAGTAAAAAGTAATTTTATTTAAACTACTACTATTAATTACGGCATGAAATAAATAACAGAAATATGTAAAATAATTTGGTGTTCAAACACATTTGAAGGATGCAGAGAAAGAAATGTCATTGTCAATTATTCTTGATATTGAGTTATTAAAGCCATCTGGTAGAAAATTTAAAGAGCTTTTTCGTTATGAAACCTAAACACGTTAAAATCGATCAGTGTACGCATGGGACTCAAAGAAAGTTACTATGGAAGCACAAATACGTCATCTGTTTTGAATAAGGTCATTGCCTATGGACTTTGACCTTTTTGACACGTTTTTTTTTTGACACAGTTTCAGTGTGAGTGCAGTTGCCTCTAGAAAAATCGAATCAGCACGCCTCAACTCCACGTAGTCTTGTCTGACCTACCCCTAGAGTGTTTTTGTAAAGCCGTAGGCGCGGAGGGGAAACAGTCCCCAACACTGAAGCAAATAACAAGGACCTGTGCGAGTCATAGGTGCCGGAGGTGAGCATGGGTACTCGTACTTGCGATTTGTTACGCAAGGGTAAAGGGTCTACTACACTACCCGCAGAGCCGAAGCCGTTGCAGAAGTAACTTCAAAATAGTAAAAATTTATTTTAGTAACACCGTACTGGACCAGTGTTTTATAAACTTCAAGTCAAGACCCGAAGATCGACAAATCGTACCACTCTCTAATATTACTGTTAATAAGTGATATCACTTGAAATTTCAAGTTTTTACGACTTTTAAATTTGGTTATAGAAAAGGCTAAGTACCTATCCAAGGTTTAAGAGAGTCTCTTTGTTGTAATTTATTCACTAAATCCTACATTTGTCTTTGTCAATTGAGTTTTCTGTAATGATGGACTAACGAGTGATAAAATTAAAAAAAGTTGTTCAACCGAGTTTAATATAAAAAAATAAGAACATCACACAAGTACAAATAACACAAATAAATAAAAACATCATCATTGATTAAAAGTTAAGTCAATTAAATACGCATTATTAAGGATAACTCAAAAACGAAGTCATATCTTGATCACCACAGGGCCACACGAGAAGCACCAGCTTTCAAATAAATAAAAGAATTATCAAAATCGGATCACCTAGAAAAAAGTTCAGATGTAACACATTAAAAAAATGCAGTCGAAGTGAAAACCTCCTCCTTTTTTTAAAATCGGTTGAAAAGAAACAGACCTCAGTAGGAAAATATTACAATGTCGCATACATTCCTAATATATAAAATTTTCCGCTTTCCTACTATGTATTTGATAAACATATTATTATGGATTTCTTATTTTAAATTTATTACAGTGTCTTTGATCCCTTGTGGAATTTTTGGGAATTTGAATTTGGGAATCAATTTTTCTTTTTTGTTTGAAGTTTTCGGGTGTCCAATGTCCATGGGCAGTAGTAGCTCCCTGCCAGGTGGACTGTCAGCACGCTTGTTACTTTTATTTTTAGAAGAAAACAATAATATAGTTTTTTTTTAAATTAACAACAAAATATAGAAGATAAAACTCCAGCTCCATCAATGCGATATTTTTAACATTACCAAAAGCCGGTTTAAAACTGGTAGCGTTCACAATTGTCGAAGCTAGTTAAATATGAAATGTCACTAAAACAGTTTTACATAGCCAGTAATTTTCCTAGCAAGCTAAAACTTCCATTATGTGATACGTGAACAACATTTAATAAACATAATTTTCATACGACGCAACCTGTTTCTTCATTGCAGTGTACCAAAACATTTCAAAAGGAAAAACAAATGCGAAACGCGACCACTGTTCTCGACATTTTATCATTACAACACGAGTAGACCACTTAGATTAGACACCTAATCCACACCTCATGCTGATTCGGGCTCCCAGATTTGACTCCTCATTAGAGCCAATTGTAATGTTATCTACATTAATTTCTAAATCTAGAACTAGAAATTATCTTGGACATTTTATCTCACCTTATACATTTTGTATAACACCTTAATATACAACCTATATTTCGTCCCACTCCTGTGCACAAGCAAATCTTACTCGGATCCGCTGCAGCTGTAATACTGCAATATATTTTTTAACGTAACTCAATGAAGTGTTTTGGCTGCCAGTCACGTATCTTAGGTTTTAAAATACCGTTTGCACCGTCGTTGTGCCCGTGTCTCGTAGACTGCATTCAGAGAAAATTCCCATAGTAACACCTATTAGATACCGGATCTCGACTTTACCGGATCAGAAAATTTCGGAACAAATTTTCCGATATTTCAAATCGTTTCAGAGGACCATTATTATAAATAACATTTATGAATAATACATATTGATTAAAGTTTTCATTAAATATCTTTCTAATCGCACCTAATTAAACGCATGTGGAACTTTCCACGTGGTAGAGCCATGCTGCTGCTGTATATTTGTAGCACGAAATGGTCGGCTTGACCGGGGAGTGTCCACGCTTTCACAATACCAGCTTGTTAGCATGTTTCGTATGGTGAGTGTAGAGAACCGGAGACCCTTTTTCACTGGAAACGAGCAATTATATCTCAGTTCACAGGGGTGACAACGCATCCACATTTCGATTCTCAATAGAGGATAGATGTAGGTAGATGTCTATGGGCCACAGCATCCACTTACCATCAGGTGAACTGTGTGCTCGTTTGTCACCCTTATTCTACAAAAAAATTGTAATCATAGTACGTTTTTGATTCATATTTTACGTTGAGTTTTAGTTTTTTCGTTACTTATATAAAACAAAATATTTTTTTTTAATTTTACGGTTAAAAAAAGACTT